TGGGCACTTCTCCTAAATGGATCAACGAAGAGCAGAAATTTAGCTGCAAGAAGATCGTGTGGAGGTCTTCACGAAGGGCCCTCAGCTGGGGTGACTCACTCCAAACATTTCGGTGGCGATCATCAGCGAGCCAGTATCTCAAAACATCAAGGCCAGTTACTTTAGAATGAACTTTTAAGTCTTCAAAAGTTTTCTTTACCTTTAATATGTTCTCTAGGATCCGTTTACGTCTCAGTTTGCTGTAATCTTTGTTTATTCTCTCCGCGAACTTGCGCCATTCGCGCCTCTGATGGTTTCTTCCTTCCTCGTCGTCCTTCCTTTTTTGGTATTTCCGATCTCTGTACCACAAGAAACAGGTTCCAAATAGAAAGACGACGGCTGTAAGGGAAATATTACTACAATAGTAGACAAAGGTTATTAACTCCGCGTATTCTTCAGCAAACGTCTGATTCATGATTAACCTTTCTTCACGAAAATCAGGCTGGTTTAGGAGGGAACTTTATTAGCGCGTATTCTGTGAATCTTTGTTTCATGCGAGAAACCGCTGGTATGCGCCTGCGTCGGTTTAACGCTGATTAATCATTGTGGAGTGAAAATGCGTCGGAAAACAACAGTAGATCGAGTATTTGTGACAACCTTTCTTGTCATTTTTCTCTCTGTAACCTGGATAGAAGAGTCAAAGTCTTAAAATCGTTGTGTGGTATGTGGAAGGAAGTAATTTTCATAAAGCAAAAGAGTTTACAAAGATGTTTTACATTTGCCTTTGGAGAGGCATGAGTGCAAAGTGGGGTATTAACCGTCTCAAAACCCCGCAAAATCACTCGAGACAACACAGAAAAACGAAGTTACGTGAACTTTATTTATCTGACTATCATTAAGCGGATTTAGGGGATAAAATGTTACGATGTACGGAATTCATGAAATATTTCTCGGGATCACTTGCGTCTTGCCGAGATCGACCGTTGCAAATTACAAACAAAGTACGAGTGCAACTAGCGTATCAAATAACTGACGTCACGCAGCCTTAAACCCACAGGGTCTTTGTGTTATCTTTGTCTAAGCGATCGATATAGATGTTATTTGTGAAAGATGCAAGAGGCCTGCCGAAGAGCGCAGACGTATTGCACAGTATACT